TGTGCGAAAATTTCTGTGCAGGATAACATCAGTAACATTAATGTAAGCCATGAATGTTTCTTCATGTTGGTTTGATGGTTTGATTCCTTGGATTGTTGTGAACTGCGTCCGTGAACTGATGTGTTGTTCACATTCACTCTTCTTTTATATGGTTCGACCTTTGAAGATTGTTTACTCTCAACTGTGATAAATTCGTATCTCATGTGGTTTACGCTATAATGACACCTGTACTTGTACATGCCTTATCGTTACTCGTTTCAGTTGTCGTCATGGCGTGCTCCGTTTTATCTCTAATTCCTGTATGTTTCATCCTACGTATTACTGTAGAGGAGTAAATCTCCGTGTAAAGATATTATTATCTTATTTAATGAAACCATATTCTTAATAATAAATGTATCTTCATAATTTTTCTTTTCATGGAAATATATCGAAATATAGAGAAAAGCTTACTTCGCGATGTACATTCACAGATATTATACACACATTTTGATATATGTATGTATATATATATATATATATATATATATATATATATATATATATATATATATGATATATGTATGATACATGATATAATACTCGCGGGTGCCAAATTGCCAAAACGAGAACAAGTGTTTATCAATTTATTAACACCAACGTGACAATGATTATTATTTAATGCAAGTCGGCTCAGAGGGAAATCAGAAAGACATCCTTGGAAATTATAATATTGTCCAGTTTAAGATATTATACATCTGTGGGGTGTAAGCGACACCACCTAGAAACTGGTGTTGGAGCAAAGCGATGACAGGGGAGGATGTGTTTATTAAAAACAGATCTTCAAGTAAGGTCATGTTCAATCTTTTGAATTGTTTGAAAAGATGAGTTGGGTAATTTAGAGATAAAAAATAATGGCCGGTCCGAAGTTACTGCGCTTCGTTGTCGTAATTCCCGACCTTTGGATGCTTCGTATGTTATAATTTGTATGTTGAATATATCTCTGTTCGTTTCTTACATTGGACTTTTGTTCTACATTTCCACATTAATCTTTAAACATTATTTGAAACCTCTTTGAAATACTGCTAGCTTTCAGAGAATATCAGATTGGAATGCTAGAATAACTTGACAATTATGACTTGGAAGCTCATTTTTGTGAATTGCGTCTTATTGTTGGGACATGATTAACCGGCATGTAAATTAGTTATAATTGTCAAATTTGTATTGATATTTGCATGAAAATATATAGTTTTGCACCAAATGTACGATTTGTAATGAGAATGGATAGGCACTATTTAATTACTTGTATATGAAATGAGTTTTAAATAATTCACATGTTCATCTATGCAAGTTTAATAACTATTTTTCTTTGCAGGTTTTAAATATTCCCCAACTAGGGGATTATTGTCTGATGCTCTGTTTGAAAAATCAGTCGCCTTTAAGGAAATTACATTTCTTTGTGTTATTTTTGGCATCATTTTATAGTTCAGAAATTTGCATGACTGTCAATTACTAATTTACTGTAATTGACAATATATTGTTGTAATATAAATATATAATACAAAATTGTTATATATTTACAGTATTTTGAGTACTATGTACTTCCAGGAATTAATTCTTAAATGTTCAAAAGTTGTAAACGAAAAAACTCGGGACGGAAACGCGCATGTCGGCAACACCGTGCGCGCAGCGCGCTTCATTCAAATCGAGCGACAAGTTTCTTAACAAGAGTTCTTACATTTCCTTCAGCGTGCTGTGGAAAATATAAGAACTCTGATGGCAAGACCCTCACTCCTTGAAAATCTTGCCTTTGATATTAACCAGATTTTCAGCAAAGCTGAAATTTGTTGGATTACAAATATAAATTTCGTGGATAGAAATGAAAATCTAGAAAGATTGTACATTTTTACAATTTTGGAAAAATCAGAGTTTTTAACCAAAATGAGACCTGCACCATTCGCATAAATATTTTTCATACTATCCGCATAAAGGTCTTACATACTATAAAATTTAATAAAGGGAGCTATTTTTTTTGTTTTGAAAATTTCTCTGGGGATTCACGTAAAGGAAAAGGAATAGCTAAAATTTCTAATGATTACACATTCATTCATTTTTATAATTTATTTAAAAAGTTATGTTATATAAAAAGTATTACATAATCGTTACTAAGGGGCGAGAAAGTATATGCTGTTTTAGCACCACTAGTTCTTTTACATAGTCCGGCGATAATAGCGTTTCAATCCAAATGGCAAAATTAAAAATTAATGTGAAAATGTATGTGTTGTTTTAACACAATTTTTTCTCGCATACTACTTAAATAAAACAGAGAAAGAAAGTTATTGCTACAGCAAAAAACTGCGATTTTTCTGGGACAGAAAAACTTATTTTATGTAACACTGAGAATAAAAATGTGGATACATTTTTGCTCTTTCCTCTAAAACATTTTGTACAAATTGCAAGAATCTGTATTGTAAGATGTGGATATCAAAATAATTATTTACGGCAAATCGTTTGTGTGTCTGTCCGTCCATCTGTCGGTGTGTCCACCTGAGAACAAGTGTTCCGGCTAAACCACAAGCCAGATTTTCACCAAAATTGAGAATTCCCTATTGATTAGACTGATGTCTCATCCGCTTGATTTTGAAACGTACATTTTGATTTGGGAGATACTTCACATGTCGCCTCAAAATTTTAAAATTTTTTTACAAAATGGCTCGCAATTATTATTATTATTATTATTATTATTATTATTATTATTATTATTATTATTTTCAGATAAAGGAAAATACGCTAATAAAAATGGCACAAGTTTGTTTTTCGATAAACTTTCTGAATTTCCAAATCCAGCAAATATTAAAAAATGTTCGGCATCTTGCTACAATTACAATATACAAAATATAAACTTTTATCTTATTGAAATTTGCTCTTCGAAATTAGATATTTAAATGAGGCCTTGCACAATTTTTCGAAAATATGAACCGTTTTTGCGTAATTTTGCAATTCCAAAGTAATTTTAAAAACGCACAACGTATAAAAGTACAAAGTGATTTTTTCAAAGATGTTTCCAAATTTTTGTATAAATTATTTTCCTTGGACTGTGGTATTGAAGATAGAGTACTTTCCTTAATAAACTCTGTTCAAAAATATAAAACATTTACAATTTTTTGTCAATACGTGCAGTTTTCGCGTGTTTTAGTATGAAATAAAGGTATTTTATAAAACAAATTGTTCTCAAAAACGACTTTAATTTTCCTTAATTTTTTCTTAGAATGAAGCAAAGGATACTTAAAAAATGTTACAGTCCCAGTTTTTGATAAACACTCCGAATTTTCTAAAAATATCTCAAGAAAATATGTGCTGTTGCAGCACCACTATTTCTTTGTTAACGAATACCACCTGTGCCTCACGAGATAAAAATCATACCTCAGCAAGACCCATTGGACCTCAGATGTGGGATGTTATTCATATGTTCTGGTCACGTCATTCTTAAGAAGTACGTCATGTCAGGGTGTGAATCTTCATCCACCTGTCAGAGCCAGAAATAGCTAATTTGAGGATGCATTTAAATGTCAGTAGCTTCATGTGAAAGTTTTATACCTGAACTCTTCACGTGAGTACAATTTGTTTTCTTGTTAGTCCATAGAAATTTAATTCGCAATAATCAGTATTGCATGAAAATATGTTCCTACCGTTAAGTAACTCACTTTTGACAAATATTACATATTCGTAAATATATAGGCAAGGCAGTGATAAGATTCCAAGCTTAATGAAGAGAGGCTTGCAAGGGTAATGCGGATGGCATTTTTTCATTATTCGAATAATTTTCTTTTGCAATCTAAAGTACTACATGATGAGTTTCC